TTTTTTTTTTTTTTATCAGCCAAAAATTTTTTTATTAAAGAAGTACAAAGGGTGCTTCAATCCATTACATCAATACACAACTTCGTTCGGTGATTCACTTAATTTTAACTATAGTCTAGAGGAAGTCATGTTTTACATTAATTATTTCTATTTTATTCTATCCTGCAGCAAACAAGCACAGCAGATATGTTAGATATTTTATTCAATTGAGTACATTAAAGATCAAAAGCAAGTCAAGGTACAGAAAAGATGCTAGCTTGAAAATGTTTCACATGCAGACTCTCATCTTTTCTTACCAGTTTTCATGATTTCCATGGAGGCACTCACGGATACTAAAGCTGAGTGCAGGTGTTCAAGTAAAAAGAAACATTACTCAATTGCTTCTGCCTGAGTTGTGTTTTGTGCAGATCGCAAAAGCAAGTTGGGAAAGTCTAAATCAACAATTTATGAATTCACTGAAAAAATGTTAGCTGGAACATATATATTAATTATATAGAAAGTATTTTTCAAAATGGATTGTATATTAAAAATATAGTTTGTCTTATAAATTTATTTAAATATTTTAAATAAAATTATTTTTTATATTATTTCATTAAAAACATTTAAGTAAATATATAAAACAGTTTGTATTTTTAATGTATAGTTCACTTAAAAAACTTATATCCCTTAATTATATGTGTGAGTGAATTAGATTGCTACCGTATATTCACGTGAACTTCATATATAGTCAGTTTTCTCTCTCATCAAGGAATACGGCTTATAGGAAGATGCATTCACTGTATGGCTGAAATGAAATGAAATTTTTGTTAATTACAGTGTTTTTTTTTTAATCTTTTTGTTAATTTCAGTTGGTACTACTACCCTACTCTCCTATGCTGTATTAGGCTTGCAAAAACCAAAAATAAAAATAAAAATCCTTACGAAAGGAAAGGCAATATTAATTCCCTAGATGATCTGGAAGAACGTTAGCTCCTGCCTCTGCTATTGAGCCACCATGATGTGATGACAATTCCTTGTCTTTGGACGAAACCCTTGTCCCTGATCTATCTGTTTCTGCAATTCGCATTACTTAGCTGAAGAACACACGAGAGATATGGTTATGTAATCACCTCTTTCTCTATATTAAGACATTCGCTCAATCTAACATAATTAATTTACGTTACAGTTCGATGCCTAATCAAGAAGTGTAATTATAATCATACAACATGTTGTTAATAACGTAAAATTTTATTTTATTTAATTAATATTTTATTAATTTATAATTATTTTTTAAAATAATTAATTATAATATTTAAAACATTAACATATAAGTTAACTTAATGTATTATATAATAATTAATAATTTTTTTATCAACAAATTAAATAAGTAAACTTTATTGTGCGGAGTATGAGAAGTATTTCAACCCATTTACAAAGTTAAAATACAACCAATAGAAACATAATTAACGCAATAAACTCTTCCAAGCAACTTCTATCACTATATCCGTCCCTTCTGGTTTATATGAAACTCCTTTTGCCTCCTCTTATGATTTCTTATATTTGCAGCACACTCAGGTGGATTAAACCTCCAATCACAAAATGAAAATACACACCCCTGCAATTAATAATTAATAATTATTTTTAACAATTAAATCATACAAAATTCATAGTTTTTAAATAATATTATGTACCCCTAATAAATTAGTGCATTACTACAACCACAACCCAGCATCAGGTGAGGTGGACCGTGGACTGGGTACGAATAGACAATTGATGAAGTGGATGATTTGATACAAATTTCAAATATGTAGGGGTGAATATTGCCATGGATACATTTATTATTTATAAGTATTTTATTTATTTGAGTAAAATATTATATTTGAATTATAGAAAAAATATTTAAGTAATAGGTATGAAAATAATATATTTATAAATATTAAGTTAAATAATAAATTTAAGAGTTTAGAATTATTTATTTGATCTATTAATCGATTTATTTAATTAACAAGTTATTTATATATATTTTTTATCTTGGTTACACAATGAGAGGCAAGTATCTTTCATTCTTTATCCCACCTCATCCGCATGTCATGTGATTTAAATTTAGAATCTCTTATTTCCAATGGAAAGAGGTGATTACTGAGTTATATATTTAGGTCGTTGGCAACAAGTTACTTATATTTATATAATTAAAATTATATGTATTTATTAT